TGTTATCTCCCTAGTATAAAAACTAAAGGAGTGGGGCTGGGGATTTAGCTCAGCGGCATAAGCACCTGCCTTGCATGCAGGCGGTAGTGAGTTCGATCCCCGGTACCGGCAAAAAAAAAACTAAAGGAGTTAGTGGGACCCAAAATACACAACATATCCTGTGAAAGTGAAAGCAGGAGAAGCGTCTAAAAAGGCAGGGCAGTGGCCATTTTTAATCTATTATCGTGATTTGAAACCCATGTTGTTTTCATTGTTCTGTCTAGTTTGGTTTTACTGTTTCAGTTTGTCTAATTTTATTATATTTGATGGCATGGGCAGCTATTTCAAAGATAACAAAATATATTTTTGATTTCCTATTAGCTTGTTTTGAAGCCCTGTATTGCTTTCATTGTTTTGTTTTGACTGATTTTATTCTATTTTGTTTTCTTTGATAATATCACATCTGATGGTATAGGCAACTACTCTGAAGATAACAAGATACATTATGGTACCCATTGTGGTTTTATTATTATCTTGTTTTGAAGTCCTGTACTATTTCCATCATTTCATTTTTATTGATTTTATTCTGTACTATTGTTTGATTTTATTATGCCTGATGGTATGCACAATTCTTTTGAAGATAAAGAAGCATTATGGTAGCCATTACTGATTTTTTTGTATTTTGTTTTAAAGTCATGTACCATATTCAGTGTTTTGTTTTGATTGATTCTATTCTGCTTTATTTCATTGTTTTATTCTCTTCAAAATAAAAAAAGAAGGAATCATAAAGTCAACTGAAAATCTTTCCATCTTTTCGTAGCAACTGGACTTTTTTTTTTAAAAAGATAGTAAAATCCAACAAAACAAAACAGAATAAAGCCAATCAAAACAATGCAGCAGGCCAGGGATTTAGCTCAGTGGCTTAAGCACCTACCTGGCAAGCGCTGGGTCATGAGTTCGATCACCGGTACAAAAAAAAAAAAAAGCAGCAAAATTGGTACAGAACTTCAAAGCAGAATACTAGGAAAACATAATAGCTACCATAGTATATCTTGCTGTCTTCATAATAGTTATTCATTACGTCAAGCATAGCAAAATCAATCAAAACAGAATATCTAATAAAGCAAAACAATTAATTAGAATAAAAAAGTGAGAACAATATTGGATATCAAAAACAAGACAGAAGGAAATCCCCAGTATTTGCTATACTGTATACTGTCATCCTCCCAAGAGATGCTCAGATCTCTGACCCCAGACCTGCAAAATCAACCAAACAACACAAGCATTTAGTTGCTCTATGTACCTTAGTTGCTATCAATTCACTTGTGCTCTGAACCAGCCACTTGCTTATGGGAGGGGGAAGCGAATGACACTGAATTTGATTCTCAGCCTGCGCACCAACAGGCTCACAGGATGGCTATCTGACCTTTCCCTCCCCAGAACCCATGCAGCCTACTTGAGCGGCTTACCAGAAAGGCTGGCAGCAATGGAGTATTTTAAAACTCGGTCACAGATGCCTGTACCATACTCTTCTAATGGAAATAGGAACTTTAGTACAATGACTGCTGGCTGTGCATCTCAGTAGCTGCGCCTGGGGAATATAGGAAGCAATCTTTCCATTCACCCACTGGATACAACAAACAGCAAGGTGTATACATGTGTAAACAGGTGAGTTGACCCACATTATGTGCTATTTACATTTTGTGTATTTATAATTTTTTAATTAAATGTTTTATTTTAATTTTTTCCTGTAAAATTAGCGAAACAGCATAATACCGCATGAAAATCTGCTTTTACAACTTTGGGAAGAGGGTGAAAGTGAGCTATCGGGTGACTTGGCCACAGCTGATGACTCAGATCATGTAAACCAAACAAGTTAGCAATACGTGAAAGATATGGCAGAGAAGTACAGAAGGAAGGCCTGGATTCAGATGAGGATGAAAACAGTAAGGCAAATAAATACTGTATTAGTCAAAATGCTATAAAATGGTCATGTATTCCTGAAAAACCCAACATTAGAACTAGGTCAGAAAGTGTTATTCGGCCTTGCCAAAGATGAAACCTACTAAATAGAATGCCAGCACTGTAATTCAATGTTAAAAATTGTGATGGACAACATGCTACAAGATGTTTTGAAATACACTAACAAAGAAATTCAAGACACCATTCTATAAGCATCAACAGCAGTACTCAAAAATATATTTATCACAACATTCCACTATCTGAACAAAAAGCCTTCATAGGACTTTATCATTTTAACCATCAGAATCTAAAGGATTTATGGAGAAGCGGCAGATGTGATATTGAGACTTTAGAACAATGACACTCAAGAGATCTTGGTTCCTTCAAACTTGCCTACATTTTGACAAAAAGACCCACCAACAAAGAAAATAATCTAACTGACTGCTATTTGCTCATTTTTTGAAAGCTCTGTTTTGGGCTGCCAAGCAATTTATACATTGTCCAAATATATGACAAATCATGAACAACCTGCACTGTTTCATGATTATTGAAGCTTTTGGCAGCATATAATAAATAAACCTTCCAAGTATGATATAAAAATACATGCCCTGGTAGATGCAAAGACATTTTGCACCTTGAATTTAGGAATTTATCTTGGAATTCAGCCACCAGATCTGTATTTACACACGGCTTTGTGAACAGACTTATTGCAGCTATTTCAAAAACCAACCCAAATGTCACATTGGACAGTTGGTTCATCACTTACCCCATGATGTTACACTTGCTAAAACATACCAGTTGACCAACCCAGGAAGTACTCACAAGAACAAAGCAGAAATTCCTGAAAAAATGTTGCAAGTTCACAATAGAGAAGTCTTTAGATTTCAGAAAGACAGAACACTGGCCTCCTATATAATGAAGAAAGAAACAGTAGTATTGATACTGTTAGCATTACACCACGATGATAAAATTGACAGTGAAGTTGAGCCCTGGGTGTAAATCTCAGCACAGGAAAGTGAGGCAAGAGGATGCCATGAGTTCACAATCGACCTGTGCCACTAGTAAGTTCCAGGATAGACTCTACTATGATGAAGAAAATCAACAAAGTGATATTGATATGGTCAATATAACACCGTAACGCTAAGACTGACAGGCTGGTGTGGTGGCATACATCTGTAATCCCAGCACTCAAGAGGCTGAGGCAGGAGGTTCCTGTGATTTCAAGATTAGCCTACCCTGGATTACATGAGACCTGCTCAAAAAAAGAAACAAAAAAGACTGCCAGTAAATTCTCAACACAAATGAAGTCAGAGATCATCATATTTTACAACAAAACAAAAGCTGGAATAGATACTATTGACAAGCCATGCGACAACTATGGCATTCCTCAAAACACAAAGCGTTTGCCAATAGCTGTGTTTTACTCAAATCTAAACATGTCACAGTTTATAAAGGAAATAAATAACCTGCACAAAATATCAAGGAGTTTTCTTAAGAGGACTGGGACTCGAACTGATAAATGATTAATTACAACACAGGAAGAACAGTATGTATCTGCCTAAAGAATCCCCCAAAAGAATTCTGGAGCCGCCTAGTGAACAGACAGGTGAAACTTCACAAGAACCTCCTAAGAAAACCGAAGACCAACAAGATGTAAAGTATATCTAGCAAAGAAGAAGGGAAACAAAACGTGTTCTCAGTGGAAGTCACATCTGTGTACAGAACATGCTGTTCGCATGTGCGAAAACTGCCTTAGGTGTGATAACTGAAGCAAAGATTATTTCATGGTAGCTTTATTTGCATTTTCATTATAGTTCACAGAGGAATTTATTGCGCTGTTACTTTCTAGATTTAGTACAAACAGTTGATGTAGAAAATGTTGATGTGTATTCTAAACATTCAGTAAATATTTAGTATTTTATCTTATTGACATTTTATCTTCCTATTATGTACACATTGTTTAATATAATAAAATTAGCAATTCATCAATAGAAATACTTCTAAAAAGTAAATATGGGCATTATACACCTGCCATAATGTGCCTTTGAAAACATTTGCCATGAAGCTCCCAGCTACATAACAGTTATAATCTATTTAGAAATAATTATAAGTTACTGCTGCCATTTGTTGAACATTTTATTAGCTAAAAACATATTATTGAGTCTTCTAAGTAATAATTTGGATGCAAATCTATCTTGTGTTGGTGCTCTTTTCAACAGATCTCTAATCAACTTTCTACATATTTCTACATTAATGTCTTTCAGTTGTGTGTCAATTTGATTTAATTTGTATTTTGCTAGAAACTATTTGCTGTTTTGGGGGCTAGGGATTTAGCTCAGCGGCATAAGCACCTGCCTTGCAAGCAGCAAGTCGTGAGTTCGATCCCTGGTACCAATAAAAACAAAAAAGACAAAAAAAAGAAACTATTTGCTGTTTTGAAGTTTGTGCACAGTGCTGCACGTGGATTCTCACTATACTTTTAAACTCAACCTATCACCCATTCCCTTCCTTCTCCCTTCCTAATTGCAATTACACCTGTTCATCCCTTATTTCCTTCATTAAACCGAAAAGAATTTCTCTGTATTCTGGTCTTTACAAAGACCAAGTCTATACACTTATTTACGATTTGTAATTTTTTGTGTTTTCCATCTCCTCAGTTTTTAACTGTTCCCTTTGTTGTTTCATTTTTCTGTTTATTTTGTTATTTTTCTAATTCCTTTCTAATTTTAAACTAAGTTCCTAAACTAATCACTGCTTTTATCTTTCTTGTTTAAACTTCAATTTCTTACATGCCAGCATAACCAATTATCATGCAAACAGATTAACAGCTGAATTATTTTATTTTTTGATTGTTTCTGTTTTTTGCTTTTTTGGTACCAGGGACCAAACACACAATCTTACACTTGCCAGGTAGGCATTCTGCTGCTGAGCTATAACCCCGCGGCCCCTAGTTGAATTATTTCATATGAAAAAAGCAAAAAATTATCACATACTTGATGTGAGAAATCACTAAAACAGCAAAGAATTTTTGAAATGAAAATGAAAGCTTTTTAACTTACTGACTGACTAAGTCAGATCCCATCTTTGAGCCATCATCCGCCTCTTCTTCCATCTCGGAGTCCACACTGTTGTCACCTTATAAAGGAAATAAACCACAGAAATCATGTTTATACAAATGTAAAAATTACTAACTGCGTCACAAAAAGTGGCACACAGCAGACAACCTTATAACTGTTAGACTGTTACATTTTTAATTGCTTTTATTTAAAATTAGCTTTTCAGTGGGCATGGTGGCTTACTCCTGCAATCCCAGCACTCCAGAGGCTGAGGCTGAGGTGGGACCATCATTGCAAATTCAAACCCAGACTGGGTACAAAGTGAGCCCAAGGCTGGCCTGAACTGCATAGCAAGACCCTGTCTCAAAAAGACAAGTGAATAAATAAATAAATAAATAAATAAATAAAATTAGCTTTTTAATGTTTTTCCAGTGCCTCTTCTTTATCACACAAACACAAAAAGGTATACATGTACTTAGAGACTACATTCTTATGTATACATTTGTTTGCAAAATTACGAAATCCAATAAACTATTTTACATTTCAAAAACAATCCTTCTCAGCCAGGTGTGGTAGCATGCCTAGAATTGAAGCTAGTGGGAGATTAAGGCAGGGCAATCATGTTCTGAGGTCAGCCTGATAAACTTAATAAAAAGGTCTCAAAATTTTAAAAATTAAAATTAAAGGGCTGTGGGGTGTGATGGCACACACCTAGAATCCCAGCACTCCAGAGGCTGCAGCAGGAGGATCACTCTGAGCTCAAGGCTAGCCTGCACTACAGACCCTCCCTGTCTCAAAAAAAACGAAAACAAACTTACAAATAAAAGGGGTGTGAATGTCGCTCAGTGGAAGAGCCTAGAATGCAAAAAGCCCTGGGTTCAACCTCTAGTGTACAAAAAAAGTATCTTTATTGAAACCAGAAGTCTCTCAAGAACTTAAAAGTCTCTATTATTTTGTTTCTTTTGTGGTACAAAAGGTAAAATCTTTGCATTTTCAAAACAAACAAACAAAAAAATACTGAAAATGCAAAATTCTAGAAGTTACAATGTCACAAAGTATAGTGATACTTAAAATGGACATATAAATGTTGGCCAATTACAGAGAATTCTTCCACATCTCAGTTTTTCTAGAGAAAAAAATAGTATGTATTAGGTAACAAAAGGCCATAGAGAATGTGAAGCAAAGTTGGAGAGCGGGTACACACCTGTAATCCCAGAAATCGTGAAGGCTGAAGCAGGAGGATCACAAAGCCCAGCCCAAGCAACTTTACTGACTTAGGAAGGGCCTGTCTCAAAATAAAATTCAAAAGGGCTGGGGATATAGCTCAGTGTGAAGACCCTGGGTTCAACTCCTAGTACCACAAAGGTAATTAAATTTAAATTATTTTAAGGGGATGCTTTGTAGTCTCAACAGTTTTTATAGCATTTTTGGCAAACATTTTTTCATTTCATTTTATTACAGTGTACAAACAGCCTCTCATCTACATACTTAAGTTGGAATAACTATACATCAAAACTATAAATTGAAATCCTATTCCAATAAAGTAAATTTTCTCAGCACAACAAATAAAGACATTCTTCAAAGATCACCCAATAGGGCCAGGTATTCTTTTTTTCTTTTTTTTTTTATCGGTACCAGCGATTGAACTCATAACCGCATGCTTGCAAGGCAGGCGCTTATGCCGCTGAGCTAAATCCCCGGCCCCATAGGGCCACGTATTTAGCGAAGTGGCATAAGTGCCTGCCTGGCAAGCGCAAGGTTGTGAGGTCGATCCCTGGTACCACAAAAAAAAAAAAAAAAATCACCCAGTAATGTAACTCACAAAAGGAATACCTCAGAATTAATACTGAATATAACTTAATAAATTACCAAAGTAACCAGAATATAGAAATATGTATTCTTACCCTCAAGAATCTTCAAGATCTTTTTTTCAGACAGGAGTTCTAACTGTTCTTGGCATAGTTTTTTAATTTCTTCTATTGAACAGTTCTAAAGGAAATAACATTCTTTAAAATTGCATTTATGTACTATAGCTGTAATATAAACTGGAAAACTGCAATCATAAGAAAAATTTTGGTTAGTAAAATGTTACATTAAAACCTTGAGTAGAGCCATATAAATCTTCTCATGTGATGCAATCTGAAAAACTGCCAGTTAACATTAGCACTTTAGAGACTTGAAAGAAATGCAGTGTACAGTTTCCCCACTATTTTGTAATAACAGTCTATTTATGCTACATAATTCTTCTAAAGGTATCCGTGCTTTAGAAACATGATCTTGGGCTTGTCTCAGACCTCTTTCAGAAATAAACGAAAACCCTATGTATGTAGTATGTAATGAACATAAGCTTTCAGAAACCACCATGTACTGCTACACATAAACATATTTCCTTAAAGTGCCAGCAAGATTCATTACACCTCCAATCAGTTACTACCAACTCCCTGCATTGCATGAAGAATTAGTTCCTCTGACACAATAAACTTTGCCTTAATCTTCCTTTGAAATCTTTAAATACGCAAGGCCAATTTACAGTTCTCCCAATTCCTTTTCTGTATCTGCAGCTTGCTTTAGATGAGAACACCCAATTGCAAGCTGCATCAAGTAAAATGACTCCACAAGGCACGCTCCACTTCTAACCCTTAGTGAAGTACCTTTAACACATCGGGAAGCATCTTCTGTAGCTTCTTCTCTCCTATGATGCAGAAGCACTGCTGGAGCATTTCCTTCTTGTCTGAGATGTAGAAACTAACTGGTTTTAACGACACAGTCAGGTCCAGTCCACCTTCTTCAAGGTCACTGTGCTCTGCCAAAAATAATTCTTTTTCCAAAGTTGGCAAGAGATACTTGGTTTCCTAAAATTAAAAAAATAAAGAACTATTAAATAACACTATTTAAAATATAGAGTGTGTATGTATGTATGTATATATATATATATACACAATGCACCATAAGGTTGATTCTTCATCAAACATTTCCAAAATCTTATTGTTTGGACATTTATCTAAAACCACAGAAAACAGTATTTAATAGATCAATATTCTTATTTTATTCCACTCTGCAAGTAACAGAATAACTATAAAGGGAAGACAAAGCCAGGGACAGCCACATATAAATTACTTGTAATTCTAGTCATCTGAGCGGCTGGGGCAGAAGGATCCAAAGTTTGAGGTCAGCATGGGACCTTAAACAAAGTTTCTGGCTAGCGCCAGTAGTTCACATCACACCTGTCATTCCAGTACTCAGAAGGCTGATGCAGGATGGTCATGAGTTTAAGCTCAGAATAAGCTACAAAATGAGTTCAAGGCCAGGCTGAGCTAACTAGCAAGAGCCAGACCCTCGGCCCCCAAAATAAAGAAGGAAAGAAGGAAGGAAGGAAGGGAGGAAGGAAGGAAGGAAGGAAGGAAGGAAGGAAGGAAAAAGAAAGAAAGAGAAAGAAGAAAAATCAAAAGGCTGAGGATATAGTTCAGAATTAGAGCACTTGCCTAGTATACAGGATCTGGGTTCAATTCCTAGTACAGACAGAGAGGAGCGGGGGGGGGGGGAGAATGAAGAAAATAAAGAAGACAGGGAGATAAAGTCTTAGTGAATGCATAATATATATTAACAAAGACTAGTTCCTACAATTTTGACTTTTGAAGAATTAAGACATTCCTGCAAGTGGGTACTAATCCATAAGTTTCCTGTATCCATTATCACCTTATGCTATTTTAAAACTTCATATAACTGTATTTCAAGTAACCTAATTATGCCAGTAATTCAACACATTTCGGACAACTTTACCTCCCCTCTCCCAAAGCTATCCAGTCTTCAAATTTGTCACAGTCAAGATTAAAACTAGTACGATCTCTGTAAATTACAGCAAGAGTCATTTAGTGGGACTCCCAACATCTGACTGAGGTCTCTGTTTTGTGTACTACCAGCATAACGGAATTTCCTAAACCAGATAATCACACTTGTTTAAATCTTTCAATGACTTTTCATTGTTCTGGGGGTAACAGGAGCTACCAGCTGCTTCATGTTCACTCTTGGGGTTCTGTCAGGTTCACTCTTGGGGTTCTGAGCACAATGACCTTTGAATTACTCAGATATCACATGTTCTGCACCTCTTATTTCATGGAAGCAGGGCTTCTATGCATACTATTCTCCAGTCTGTGAGTGTCTTTCCCCTCGGCTTCCCTTACACATACTATACTAACAAGATTAACAAACTCTAACACTTGTCAGACAGCGAATTCAAAAGTCATTTCTTCAGGAAAAGCCTCCCTGAACATACAAGTTAGGTAAATTTCTGTTATGTCCTATAATGGTGTTACAAAGGCAGCTAAAACAGGCCAGTTTAAAAAAAAAATAGCAAGGTATGGTGGTACACACTTATAATCGCAGAATTTGGGAGACTGAGGCAGGAGGATTACCATGAGTTTGACACCAGTTTGGACTACACAACGAGCAAGACCCTGTCTCAAAAGAAAACTAATTAAATTTTAAAAGCTGGCCAATTTTTAAAACTGATAATTATACTGAAAAGTAAAGTCAGCTCTTGTTTTAAGAGCTCACACTGTGAATTATACAGTGAAAATGGAGGCTTTACACCCTGCATTACTAGCAGAACACACAATAGTGTAGCAGCTCTGGAAGGAAAACAGTTTGGCAGTTCCAGAAAAAGTCACCAGTAAGACCCAGCAATTTCATTTTCAATTAAATGCCCAAAAGAAATATGTAATTGTATGCCCACATAAAAACTTCACAGGAACGTTTGTGGCAACATTACTCATAACAGCCTGAAGGTGGAAACCAACTAAACATCCATTAAGTGATAAATGCAAAAACATAATGTGGTTCAATGAAATACTAGATAGCCATAAAAAGAATGACCCGTTGTGCCACAAAGGGACAAACCTGTGTCCAACATCATGGAAAAAACTGACAGCGTGCTACATTAAAATGCTAAACACAAACTACAACATATTGCATGATTTCGTTCCAAAAGAAGGTCCACAATAAGAAAATCTATAATATAAGGAGCTGAGCTGGCCAACACTAGTAAACAGGGAGACAGATCTTTTGCAACTAGGAGGAGGACCAAGAGATGGAGGGAGGAGGGAGGAAAAGTAGAAAGAATTGAGATGTGTTGTGCACATCCGCCTACTCTTCACAATGAACACAATTGTTATGTGTACAAACGTGTGCTAGTAAAAGTTTTAATTAAGTATGTAAGTCTGTAGAGACAAGAAGTAAATTAGTGATTACCAGGAACAGAATGAGGTGATTAGGGATGATCATTAAAAGACACACATATGGTTTCTTTTCAGAGTAATCAAATATTTTTAAATTGACTGTAAGGATGGTAGCACAATCCTGAATACAACCAAAACCACTGAACTATACACAGATATAGCACTCAGAATTCTGAGGCATTATCTACATGCTTAACATGCAATGATTTTTTTCTGTCAAAAAACCCTTATTTCTCCTTAAAAGTTAGATTTAGTTCTATCTGTAAATGTTTATAACACTTAACACTGTTGATTTCTTTATCATAATAAAGAGTAGTAAAATATACAAACTTTAGTGGTATCCAAAACTGAATCCAGAAGGGACCAGATAAACTAGATCAATAACTATTAAGAAATATTTTTAGTAAGGATTTAAAAAAACTAATCCCATAAAAAGACACATTACTCACACAATTATGGTTCAATGATCAAATTTTGACAAATACTTGAGAAAATAATTATGAACTATTCTCAAACATAACAACAAAAAAATTAATAAAGCTTTCTATACCCATACCGCAAAAACTATCAGCTGACAGGGCTGGGGTTTAGCTCAGCGGCATAAGCGCCTGCCTTGCAAGCAGACAGTCATGAGTTCCATCTCGGGTACCGATAAAAAAGGAAAAAAAAAAAAAAAAAAACTATCAGCTGACATAATTTAGGAATAGTTACAAAAAGCTCAAAATACCGAATTCCAATTGTGTTAAACAAACGTAACAAACCAAATATAATGTATCTCAAGACTACATGACAATTCCTCTCCAAGTGAATCAGTTGAAGAAAACTTCCCAAAGTATTATAAATGTTCTCATTTCTAAAAACCGGGAAAAGAATGCCTATTAACTCTGCTACAGCTCAGTATTACACTAAAAGTCTCCAATAATGCAAAATGAATCAAAAACTAATCATTAGCGCTGAAAACGACAAAACTTTTAGCAGAAATTCTGAGAATCAATTTCAAACAAATAAACTACTGTAGTTGTATAAAATAAACATCATAAAAACAAATAACTTTTTATGCTTCTACATTTCCAATTTTTAAAAAAATGTAGAACGTATTAGAAGAAAAATAGAGTTTTAAAATATTGGAATACAGCCGGGCGTGGTGGCTCACGCCTATAATCCCAGCACTCAGGAGGCTGAAGCAGAAAGATCGTTGCAAATTCAAGACCAGCCTGGGCAAAGTGAGCTCAAGACCAACCTGAACTGCACAGAAAGACCCTGTCTCAAAAAAAAAAAAAAAAAAAAAAAAGAAAGAAAAAGAAAAGAAAAGAAAAGAAATCAAGAGTTTCTGTACACTCTAAACAAAAGATATAATAACATTTGCAACACACTCTACACAAAGTTAAAGACTTCAGGCAAAGATTGTGTAACTTTCCAAAGAATAACTAAAAACAACGAAAGAAAAAAATGGGCAAAAGATGAATACAACTCTACAAAAAGGAATCAAATCACAAATAAAAATGTAAGTGTTCAATCTCATTACTAATCAGGAAAAAAGAACTGAAACAAATGCAAAGATTAATTTGATTCATTAGTCTGATAAGTCCTTAAAAATGGGTATCAAATTTTAGTGGATATCAAATGGGTATTCTGGTACACTGGACTATAAATTGGTAAATTCTTATTTGAAATGTATTTCATAATAATAGGCAATTACTAAATAGGCAATTAAAAATAATGTGTCGTACGTAGAAAAAAAACTATTCCAGTGCAGTGGGGTCGAATTCAATAGAGGGGTTCTCAAAATAAAGCTTATGTGTTAGAAACTAAATACACGCACCTAACAAAGGATAATGAAAAGAGGCTGCACATGAGCTACTACTAATGCGGAGGCACAAAGAGGGATTCTCGCATTTTTGCCTGAATTTCTGTGTATCACATTATACTAAAAACTATTTTCAAACGGTGGTGTTGTAACATCAAACGGCACACAAGAATACACCTTCTGTAAAATCGCGTACAAAAGATGTGAAGTCTTGCGACTACAGGCGGAGTTAAGTCTTGCTTCTTAACTTCTTTGGGCCTCAATGTTCTCATCCGTGGTGTGAAGTTAAGCATAATCAAAAATGTGAACAAGAGAACTTGTCTAGCTCAAAGGGCAGCTGAAGCCAAGCTCCCGACCTCTACATTCTATTTAGGAAGCCTGGCAAAGTTTAACCAAAGAAAGTAAGGTTTCCACTCAGCTCAAAAAATGTAGACGTGCGGGTTCGGGCCGTGGGAGCGCGGCTCACCGGGACTCAGGTAGCCGAGCCTTAAGAAAGGGTGACTCCTTGGGGTCGCTCTAACAAAGAGCTCCCGCCGGGCCCCACCGAGCCTGGTGGCTCGCCTGCTTCAGAACCGCAGCCCCAGGAGGCGCAAAAGGGGACGCACGCACCTGCTGCAGGGAGCCCGAGACGCTGGACGAAGAGTCGGTGCTCCGGCGCTTGCGGCGCTCCCCACGCTCCGCGCTGCTCCCGCCGCCCGTGACGCTGCCACTGAAGCTAGCGTTCCCGCAGCAGCTCAGGCTCCCGCAGCCGCTGGTGCTCCCGCAGCCGCTGGTGCTTCCACTGCCGCTGCTGACGAGGGCGGGAACCAGGTCTGGGGCCGCGAGCGAAGCGGCTGCTTCCTGACCGCTCCGTTTGCGCCGCTTCTCCCGGGAAGATTTCTTCCCCGTCATGATCCCGCTGCTGCAACCATCCAAGGAAAGCCCGCCTCGTCCAGGGCAACAGAAACTGGGTCCGGCGGCACTCACGGCGAGCCCCGGCGGTGCCGGTTTTGCGTCACTTCCGGGCCCGGCGCAGAACGTAATGCGTCATCCTGGGGGGTGGGGCCAGGGCCTGCAGAGTTCCCTCCGCGGGCGGTGGAGGCTGGGAAGTGTTTTCTGCAGACCAGTGCAAGCCGCCGGGTCAGGGCTGGGTTTGTACTGGAGGCAGAGTTCGGGGAACTCTTTGCCTTGATGATACCTCTTTTCAGTGATTATTAATTTAAAAATAAACCGCTAAAAGTGTGGTTTCAGATTCTGCATTTTCATGTTTCCAAATTTTACAGTATTAACAAAAGTGAAACATAATTTTCTTTTTTTTTGGTACTAGGGATCGAACTAAGCTTGCCAGGGAGGCGCTCATGCTGCTGAGCTAAATCCCCAGCCCCTATAATTTTAGGACCAGTACAGTAGTTGAATCCCATTATCATCATTACTTGGGAAAAATGCTCTAAAACATGTATAGGAATGGGGTCTTGCGTGCCCTTGTGCTTGTTTCCTCACCACTCATTTTTAGTGACACCATATAGTCATAGGCAGCTGAATTAGATAGAATTATTACAGGCAGTCAGTGCTGGGCCCTCTAAAGAGCTGGTGCAGAAGGCCAGATACCTGCAAACACCTCCACTGCTGGCCAGATCTCTAAGTCAAAAACCAAAGCAAATGCAATCACACCCTAAGTATAAGCGTCAGGGGTTGATATCCTAATTAGTATCAGTTACCTTGAGGAAGCTGCAAGGAGCCATTAATCCAACCCCTTACCAGCAAAGGCCCTGTTCTGTATTCATGCCCCCTTGCTATGTGCCTCACCTCCCCATTTCATTCCATTTAATCAGTTTTACCTGAGCAATTATACTCGTAATGCCCACTTGCCTTGCAAGTTCTTATTTTTCCCCACTTTTCCCCACCTGCTTCACCTTGTGGTTCTGCTCTATAAAAAGTCCCTAGAAAAGACAGTTTTTGGCAATCCACTCAGGATCCCTTCTGTTTCTCTCTTGGGCAGAAACTTTCTCTCAATAAATATAATACGCTCTTAACCTCTATAGTTCCTAAAATTCATTCTTCAATTTTAGGGAACACGAACTCACAACGGACATCTACTAGGTTGGGAGTTTATATCAGTATTACATTGAAAGGCACTTAGAAGGAATTAAAGCATAAAACGTAAAAATGGCCCTTGTCTGTACTGTTTCCTTGTATTTAATGATCTGAAAGACATGTGGAGGCACAATGACTGTCAGAACATGAATTTATCCAAGCCAAAATAAAGATGGCCCTCTGCAGGGACAAAGTCTAGCTGCCTAGAATAAGTGTTCCCAAAATAACTAAAAAATATCTGGACTTTTTATTTGTTTTGTTTTTGAGAGGATATTACACTGCTGCCCAGGCTGGCTTCAAATTCCTGGGTTCAAGGAATCCTCAGGCTTCAGCTACTCCTAGAGTAGCTGTGAACACAGACTTGTGCCACCATATCCTGCAAAGTGATTAAAGCTTACAACAAGCCAGCTCTTCAAATTGCCTGCATCATGGCTGTGATCTGTAGGAGTCCTTGTCAGGCACCCACCGCATACACCAAAAGGAATCTCTTGAGCTGATCTTGAGTTTAAATCCTGTGGGAAGCCATTGGAAAGTTACATTAAAGAGAAAGGATCCCTGAATCTCAGTCCTTTCAGGGTTCCCATGGTGCAGTATGAAAACATGGCCAAAAGAAGCAGTGATTTTTCACTCAATCCCTCTGTAGGACCTCAGGTTGTGTTGAGTTTTATATTCATTCTCCCCACCCTTCTTGTACCATCTCTAAGTTTGCCCACCAGCAACAGGTGGCATCGATTCTTGGGTCTGACAGAAAATAGAGATATTTATGGACACGTTCACCTGATGACATCCTAGGAACCTAGTACTAGAATGACTCACTAGGAGTAGGTGAGAGACCCTGAGAGGCACAATGACTTGTCCAGGAGTCACAGGAAAGAGGGCTTGATCTGAACCCAATCTCTCCCCAAAAGTGGGGCATTTGACTGCACCTCAGCCTATCAAGGGACAGCAGGGTGCAGTATGTTGGTGTTCTCTGTCAAGTTGTCCCTATGGCATAGGGTGGGGAAGAAGTCAGCAGCACATGGAACCTTTGTATAAGGGAAAAGTCTCTGATAAAAAGAGACCTCAGAAAGTGACCTTACTTCCTTGATAACGGTACCAGGCACCCTACAAATAGCTCGCATTTTCAGAGACACTGCAGAGAGCAGGATATTGTCTGGACTCTAGGCTCACCAAGGTTTATGGCTCAGGAAAGTGTGGAGTGGGGGTCTTAACCATGTCTGGAGAATCTGGAGTCAGCTTTCACTCCTACACCTCTGGCGATTTTCCCAAGGAGCCCAAACAGCAACCTGAGCAAATTGGTGAAATCCTTTCCCTATTTGTGGAGGACCACCTGGATGACTCTCCTTGAATAAAAGAGCAATAACTTTGGCTAAACATGGCCCTGTCTTCATGTACTGATAGGTACAGAGCTGGCTAAGCTATTTCCTTTTCTCTTCAGTTGGCTGTTAGCAATGCAGATAGGGCTGGCTGAGGTGCTGATGCATAATCTTTACATCTAGATGACAGTCTCTGTTTTCCTGCCCCAGTGTCTCCCTAAACATGGTTGAGCCAGCGGAAGGCAGGACCATCACTCTAGAGCTGTCAGGTGAGTTCCAGCCTCGAGAAAAGAGGCTATGACTTCCCAGGGCAAAAAAGTTTGCACACACCAGAAACTGAGGCACCAGCCCCAAACATTAAATGCTACCTCAGTTGTGTTATGCAGATTGGTCTTTCTGCATCCTTCTCTCTGCATATTGCAGAAGTGTTTTCTGGCTTCCTAGCTAGCCCATCCCTACCTTTTTGCAAAACTACTAAGGATTTATTGTCATGCATCTATGTGTTCCACTCCCAAGGCCCGGGGAGACTTGTCCTGTAGCTCTCTGAGCTCCAAGTTGTTCTGTGGAAACTGGGGTGCTCAGAGGATAAGGTGTTGCCAGAGTTAAGTGGGATGAATCCTAGAAGTACCTAACCTGGACTTGGCCCTGCTCAGTGGACTGATATAGACTGTAGGTTTCTTATGTGTGACTTTCACCTCCCTGTTCCCTATGAGGAAGGTTTCTGGCTTGGGCATTCCTAATCTAACGCCTTGGGAAAAAGCAGTTTCCCCATTTGTAAAGCAGGTTTCAGGTGGTGAGGCACAGGCATGGGAAGCACAGGGGAGACGGGGGCTCCTAGAAGCCCCACACCCCAGCCAGGCGTGCCCACCTCACCACGGGCCAGGACACTGAGGTGTGGGGAGCCTGCCCCCTCTGTCCTTTCCCCATGGTAGAGGGTGCTCAGCTGGCTCCCTGGGATCTTGGTCAGGTGTGCCCTTCAGAGGGATCAGAGAAAATATAAGACCTTCAAGTGTCTCAGAAAACCAGGCATCCTGGCAGTCTGAGCCAGGGAGTAAGATGTTACTAGGATCATGGGGGTGCTAGGCAGGAGTGCAAAGTGGAGTTTACATTCCGGTGGGCTGGGGGCAGACAGCCATGTAGATATATGTCAGGCTTTCCCAAACAAGCAGAGAGCTGGCCCCACAGTTGATCTAGGGTTCCCTCCATGGGGCTTCTCTACAGCCTCTACGTGGTTATCTGGCCTACAACTGCCTGGACAGCCAAAAGCTGGGCATTGCTTCCTCTAGATGGACAGAGAAATACAGGATCCCAGTCTTCAGTAGCACAGCAGGCACAGGGAAGGGGACCTCAGACCTGTGACTCTGCTGCCAGCCGTCTTGCCCCAGCATCATCTGCTGCATCCTGGGCACCTTGCTGGACCAGGACTTCTGTCAATATACAGACTTTTACTCCCTTAAGAAGCTGATGGCCAGTTGTGATGGCACACACCTGAAATCCCAGAACTTAGAAGGCTGAGGCAAGAGGATCACCTCGAGTTCGAGGTCAGCCTGGGCTACACAGGGAAACCCTGTCTCAAGGAGAAGAGAAGAAGAAGAAGGAGAAGGAGAAGGAGAAGAAGAAAGGGGAGGGGCGGGAGAGGGAGAGGAAAAGGAAGAAGAGGAGGAGGAGGATAAGGAGGAGGAGGAAAAAGAAGGGGGAAAGAGGAGAGGAAGAAGAGGAGGAAAGAGGAGCTGATGGTTTATGTGTAGCTCAGTGCACCTATCTTGGGCTGGGAGTGTCGTGTTGATCTCCTGACCCAGCTGGAGAACACAAGCCAGGAAGACCAAGACTGAGAGTAAAGAGGCCTCCTCGGTGGGTACATAAGAGCCCATGAGGATGGGTCTGTGCTGGCTCCCACCTGGAAGAGACTTCAAGAATGGCACTAAGCCAGAAACAAGGCCAGGCCTTGGGTCCCTCATGCATGGATCACAGTCCAGGAAAACACCTAGCTGTGACGTTGACTTCTGTCTTTGAAAGACTCAGGGAAAGGCAGTCATGTTGGAATTCTGCTTCCCTGCAGCTCTACCACCAGCTTCAGTGGTAGCTGTAAAACCTACCACAGAGCAGGAGCCAGTGCTTACACTAGTTTCAGAAGTAGAATCAACCCTAGCCTTTGTTCTAGAGCAAGAGCCAGCCCCAGCGGCAGCTTCCAGCTTTAATGCCATCTCTAGATTGGAGCCATCTCAGTACCAGTTCTAGAGTTGGAGCTGGCCATACAAAACCCTAGGGGTGAAGCCAGGCCTTCACCTGTGACCCCACAGAATGGACTGAGAAGAGCAGTGACCCTTCTTGCTATTCCTTCCTGACCTGGTGGAAGAGCACTTCACGCTAATGGACATGGTGAGTGCTTCACCCTAGAAGGGCAGGGCAGGGGCATGTTCCTTCTGCGCATGTGCCATCCAGGCCTCCTGCACCCTGGCCCAGGGCCCATGTTCCTATTCAAGTCCCAGCCTCATCATTGCTGTCTGTGAACAAGGTAAATTTCTGACCCCTGAGACCTTGACGCCTAAGACCATTCCTGCTTCCTCTCCAGCAGTGACCGTGAAGATACAAGGGGCAGGACAGACAAGCACC